TAAATAATAAAATCTAATAAAATTAGGAGAATAATATCATTTAGTAAAATTAATTATATATTATATAGTCCATATTTAAATTTCTTCCATTTAGGATTATAATTAAAGTGTTTAAGAAATTATCTGAAATTTTAGATTTGCATGATAGTTATTCTAAAACAGGAGAAATCAAATTATTTAATCATATACCAAATTAAAATATTAAGATCAAAGCAATTATTTTAGAAATGATTGCATATGAGTAATTACATTTATTTAATAAGAGCCGCATAATTTAGTTCAGAAATTAATTTTGTTCCACATCTGTCTGGTATACGATATTATCTATATTATTATTTTTTATCAACTCTCACTTTAGGAACTATCTTACTAACATTTATTTTCATAATATTCTGGGAAGTAATTTAATTAATATTTAAAAAAAATAGATTGTATTTAATGTGAATCTTTGGGTTTTTATCTTAGGAATTATTAGATCCATACTTGTAGCTTTAAGGGAATGAAGTATTTGTTGTTTATATTATAAATGGATAATTTTTATAAAAAAAATAAGTAAATTAACGATTTAAATGGTGATCCCTATTTGACGTATTAACACAATTGTTAATATTGTTATTAATTATATCATTAATAAAAAAAGATGGATTGCTGCTATATTTTATGTCCTTGGTGTTAAGTTAGTGTAGGATTTCTAAATTGTTGTACATGTCATAAGCAATTTGATATGTTATAATGTAATGGTTTACCTGTTGATTGTCCAATTTGTGTGAATGTAATTATTAATGTTAATTTCATAAAGACAAGATTAGATACCTATTATTAAAGTGATGAAGATGTTGAATTGCATAAAAATTGTTATAGGAATTCAAAAAGAATGTTTTATCATTGTCAGTGTTGCAATGGTTATTTCTGCAAGTGTGTGTAAGACATTTATATAAAACTTTTTAGTGAAAAACAGCTCAAAAAAAAGATTGTTTTAAATCCATGTCCCCTATTAAAAAGAAAGGCTTAAAAAGTTTGAAATTAACAGTTAAAAACTTTTGATCTCTACTTTTTTTGTATCCATGTATCGTATATTTATATGAAATTTTGATATTATTATATAAAACAATCACCAAAATTTGGATAAGCTCTCTCCTCATAACTATTTTAATAAAGAACTATACCCAGTTAATATTATTCATAATATAAACATGAATATATATATACTGAATATCACATATAAGCTCAGAGCTTACTTTTTACAATTCTCCATATGTTTATTATAAGTTAATAGCATAATTTATAATAGATAAGCACGTGTTAAGAGCTATCCCATATTTTATTAACTTATAATTAGAATGTGTAGAAATGAACATATTTAAACAATGAATATAATGTTGTTCTAAGAAAAATAACATATAGATTCTACTTAGATTCAATTAAATAATTATTTAAGTATATCAAGCTTTAGTTTTCATATTTACATTTTCTTTAGATAGATTTGTTTATATTTATCTGATTTACTTTATAGGTCCTTTAATATTCACAGTTTGAACTATTAATAATTATAAATAATAAGAGTACTTCTAGTTCTTGGAGATAATTATCTATCTGTTAATATTTAAGTAGGAGTGACTGAATCTTCATTTGTTTAGATCTTAGATTTAAATAAAATAATACAATTTTAGCAATACAATTGAATTATTCAATATTGTATGTAATATCATCCTTAGATTATCTACAAGATAAACTTTATTAATCAGTTGAATTAAGCATATCTGTTAAATTAAAATGTATAGAGTCTGCTTTTTATCCTTGACTTAAAGTATTCTTAAATAAAGTAATTATATACTTTTTAATGTCTATGTTAACGAGAATAATTATAATCATTAGAAAGATTATTTTTTTTATGTTTTTTTATTTATTTAGGTGTCATATTTTTAATTTCTTATAGATTAATTTAACATAGAGCATTTTCATAAAATTTATTCTTACTCTTTTATCTAGTAAGTTGAGTTTAAATAGTTTTTAATTGTTATTCTTTTTTGAGAGATTCATCAATAAGAAGAGCTTATTTTCTTTAAAAATCATTTTTAAGTTTTAAAGCAACAACTTAACATTATTCTGCAATTTTTTTTTCATTATTCAATTTTTTTGTTAATTAAGTTTTTTATTCAACTAATTTATTTTCTTTATCATGTAATTATTGATTGATTATTTTAAGTTAGGAATCTAATTTATAATTAATCTCTCTATATTAATAATATATTATATTAATTACTTAAATTCTAATAATTATTTTTCTAAAATTATTTTATCTTATTCAATTTAAGTAAGTTTTGCTATTTACAATTATTCCCTTTATTAAGTATTCATTTGATATTAGTTATTTTAAAAAATAGTCTCATTATGTGCTTTATTTAAATCAGCAATTTATTACATTAAGCTACTTTACTAATTTAATTGTTAAATTTACAGCTTAATCATTAATCTTATTTAATTCTTCAAAAGCCTTTTACATTTTCTATTTGTCTTCATATTCACAATCTAATTAATATGTGATTTCCTTAAGTTTTAATTTAAGACAATTCAAATCCTGTTGAATAGTAAAAAGATATATATACATATTCGAAAATAGATTTTTAATTATTTAGAGCTTCTGAGAATTCATGAGCTAGTCCTTCTTTTTCAATCTCATTTTATTTAATGATTTATTCTAATTAATATTGTAATTAAACACATTATAGACATTTTCTAATAAGTAATAATAATATTTACTACTTTGCTTCTTATTCTTAATAGTCTAATTATAATTGGTTATAATCATTTTATAATTATATAAACTCTTAACGTTTTTTACGATGCTTAAAATACTATATATATCTTACTTCATATTCAAGTATTATAATTTTATCTTGAAGAGTAGTTTTTAGATTAGATATTTCTTATTAATGCAGTTAATTTAAGAAATGAATTTCTTTGCTTTTATCTTAATTTGTCACATCACTCATAGCTTATATTAAGGATTCATTAAGCTTTTTGAGATTAATCTCTCTATCCTTAGCTTCCTTTAATTACATCTCTAATAAAACAGATTTATTCATTAACTGTTTATTATATATATATATATATAATTCTATATATTATAAATAATATATTGTTTAGATCAATTGTATAAATTGTCTAAAATAGATAAAATGTATTATTGATTCAAATAGTATATGATTTTTATATGTTCTTTAGTTTAATTAAAAATTATATTAAAATGTAATTTAATGAAGACACTAAGAAATTCATGACTCCAGAAATGATGAAATAAATGTCTTAAATGTGTGCAAATATGAGTGATGATTAATTAAGATAATATGCTTAAATGGCTGGAATGGGTAATATAGATCCTTCATTTATGAGATAATAAATGAGTCAAGTTAAAAATATGAGAGATGAAGATCTATAAAGATAAGTTAATTAAGTATTATATTTATATTTATATATTAGACTCGTCCAGAAGATATAGAAAGAGCAAAGTAAAGAATTTAGGGTTAATAATAATAATCATAATAATAGTAATAAAAACCTCAAAGTGACTAATTTCCAATAATTAACAAATTAAAAAATTAAGGGAATGATGCATTCAAATTATAAGATTATGAAAAGGCTGCATCTAAATATTATGAAGCAATATCTGAAATTGAAGAAATGTGGGAAAATAATATTTATATAAAAAATGACACAATTAAAAAATAAGAATTAAAATAATTAGAACATTCTTGTAGATTAAATTATTGTAATGTAAAAGCAAAATAATTATAATTTGATGTTGTAATACGTTAAGCTAAGAAAGTTTTAGAAGATGATAATTAGAATGGAAAAGCTAATTTTAGAATGGGTTAAGCACTCTTTGAAACTAAAAAGTATTAAGAAGCTCTAGGATATTTAGAGATTGCATCTAATAAATTACCTAATGATGAAACAGTTTAAATTATGTATAAACAACTTAAAGAATAAATAAATAATTTAAATGTAAATCCTACAATTAATTAATCATAAAAAGTTGAATAAGAATAAAAAGAAAATCTAAATGAAGAAACTTAATAATAATAATAAAAAAAACCAAAAATAAAATTATCTTCTGTTGATACTAATTCTTAAGAATTCTAAAATTTAAAATAGAAGGTACAATCATCTAAAGAGGATGGCTTTATTATTGAAGAAGAGATTTCAACTAATTAAACCAATAAACCTATTACTACTAAATAAACAGAAACTTAAAATGTTAATAAAATACCAGAAAATCCTCAATTTTAATAATAATTTGATTAATTTAAAAATATGGTAAGATTCATTATTATAATAGTCACCTGAATAATTAAATTATATGACTAATACTTTAAAATCAATGGATAAAGGATTTTTAAAATAAATGATGAAATAATAAAGTGGAGTTGAAATGTCAGATTAATAAATAGAAATGATGTAAACTATGATGACACCTGAAATGTTAGCATAAATGAAAAATATAGATCCAGCAGTATTATAATAATAAAAATTATAATAATAATAATAATACCCTATTTAATCAACTTAATAATAATAATAATAATAATCTAATAATAATCAAAATGATACTTAATTACCTACTACATCTTAATAAATGCCATCAAATTTATAAGGATTAGCATAGAATCCATAAATGTTTGAAATGATTATAGATCAATTAAAAGCTAATCCTTAAATGTTAAAAATGATGGCTCCTGCATTTGGTGGTAATAATGCAATTACATAATATATTAATTCTGCAAGGTAAGTTATATATTTCAATTATAATAGTCCAGAGTAATTGTCTAAAGTTGTTGGTAGATTGGCCATATTCTTAAAGTTTTTATTAATGTTGTATAGAGCATGGTTAATGGTAAAAAATTAATGGAAATTTATATTGGGATTCCTTTTGGCATACTTATATTTTAAATTATTTTGAATTCTAAAAAAAGAATAAGTTATTAAATTTATATTTATTAATGGACACACCTATTGGTAAAGATCTAACAAATTCTGTCATTGGCAAAGTTTATAAATTGATCAAAAGAATAGGAAGTGGAGCTTTTGGAGAAATTTATTAAGTAGCAAAAGGAAAGGAGGAATATGCTATGAAATTAGAAAGAAGTGATACTAAGCATCCTTAATTGTTTTTTGAAGCTAAATTATATACTTATTTATAAGGCTCTGATCATAGTGATAAAGGTATTTGAATTGTTAATTAAAAGTTAGGAATCCCTAGAATATATGCTTAAGGGACAGACGGTGATTATAATTACATCGTCATTGATTTATTGGGTTAAAGTCTAGAAGATCTGTTCAACAAACATAATAAAAGACTATCTCTAAAGACTGTATACATCTCTTATATATTTTTAGGTTTTGATGCTTGGTGATCAAATGATTTAACGAATTGAATTTATTCATTTAAACAAATTTCTTCATCGTGATATTAAGCCTGATAATTTCCTAATTGGAATAGGTTAAAAGGCAACTAGAATTTACCTATTAGATTTTGGATTAGCTAAACGTTATTAAACAAAAGAAGGACATATCCCATATAGAGAGGGAAAAAGTCTAACTGGAACTGCCAGATATGCATCTATCAATACTCATTTAGGAATTGAATAATCAAGAAGAGATGACTTAGAGTCTCTTGGATATGTCTTAATGTATTTATTAAGAGGATAGCTACCTTGGTAAAATATGAAGGGAAATAATCAAAAAGAGAAATATCAAAGAATAATGGAGAAAAAGTTAGAAACATCATCTGATGTATTGTGTAAAGGATTTCCAATTGAATTAAGTTAATATTTGAATTATTGTAAGCATTTAAAATTTGAAGAAAAACCAGATTATCTTTATTTAAGAGGATTATTTAAAGTATATAACTTATAAGATATATTAGGATGCGTTTAAAAAGATTGGTTTTGAACTTGATTAAAAATATGATTGGATAAAGGATGAAAATATTATAAAAACTCAACACGATTTAATGAGTGCTGAAAAACAATAGTTACATCAATAATTGATTATGACATAACCCTTATAATAATAACCTCCAATATTGCCAAAAGGAGTATTAAATGGTATAGATTCAGAGAAGAAAATATCAAATATTAATAATTAATAATTAAGTACTTAATAATTGACAGCACAAAGAAAAACATTATAATAATAATCACAAAATAAGATATCATCTGTTGAAAAGAAAAGAACTACTTCTTAAAATAGATAACATATTCCCTCGAAGGAAATGCTTAAGCCCACAACTCAAGTTTTGGCACCAAAAATAGTAACTACTAAGGAACCTCATAGAAAATATTGATATTCTTCAATCATAACATATTTTAATAATTGATTCTCAATATATATAAAATTGCCTGTTAATTATATTCATAATATGTATATTATATTATGAATATAATTTATATTGAAAATACAAACAAGAACAAATTCTAAATTAAATATTAAGTTGATAAGGAGTCTTGAAAAAGATAAATTATAATTCATTTTCTATTTCATTGACATTCAAGATTGAGAATACATCATTTTATGATAGCATTTAGATAGTAGTGATAATATAATTATTAATCCAAATATAAGAAATCTAATGATATTACAAATCTAAATTAATTTGATTATTATTAATATATCAAATTTCATCAATAGATTAATTTTAACTTGATTTGTTTACACTTTTTTTTGATTATTTTTATATTGTTGGCATAAAACTTGATGTAACTGTTAAGAATCTTCCATCTTTAAAGTTGTTAACTTCCAACATTTTTTAATTTAAATGTGTTATACCCATTCTAGTATTAGTAAATTTCTTTATTATTATTATTTAAATAGTACTTGCATGAAACTAGGTAATAAAGAACGTTAATCATATTCCCTATCTAACATGGTTTTAAAATTAGGTGCTGTTGGAGAAGTGAATAGTTAACTTTTAGATTTTTTAGAATATTGATCATATTCAAAGTAACTTTCAAAAGTATAAGGAGGTATCTTAGTCATAATATCTTTTCTTTATTCTAATTTGTAAAAGGGTGCTCCACAACTGCCCAACTATCTAATTTAATTAAATGAATATACTTTTTGCCATATTCAAAATTAGGTTTATAATCAGGTGCAAATTCTTTCTTTTTATATATCAACATTTGATCTCTTGATAATTATTTTTCCAATTTTATTTAAGGTTATCTTGGTATCTTACTCCATTGATTGGTTACATTTAAGTATTAAAATCGATCTGGATGAGGATTGGGTCTTCCTGAAAATATGTCAGCTCTATTTTAGAGAGATGATCAAACCTTGGTATCTATCTTTGTAAATCTACAAAACTCTCATATTTAACTTTAGGTTTCTCAATGATGGATGGAGTACTATTATAATTAATAGTTGAACTTACTCTATAGGTAAATCTTATTGATATTTAGAAGGAATTTCTATTGGCATAGTGTGTTTCAAAGTCTTATCATAATGTGGAACTGAATGTACTGCTCTATTAAAAAAGTATATAATATTGATATTACTTATCAAGTTCACTATATTTGATATGATATTGTCCACAAGATGCTTTACTATTGTTTCCAATTTAAGTATAATGACCAATTTATCTGGAAATCTATTTTGAAAAAGGTTAGGATAATTTGAGAAGTTGTTTTAATTGATTTTATTCAGTTTCATTAAGTGATTCTTATTGAGAAAGTGGTTTCTTTTTAATTTAATCAGGAGATTTGCTAGGTTGTGGAGTTATGAATTTTTTAACTGGATGATCATCTCTATGTTAAAATACAATATATTTTTCAGAAGTTATTTTTCCTGCCTTACTAAACATATTTTATAAGTCATTTTAATTATGTATCAAAGCCATTTTTAATAAATAATAATATTACCAATAAAGTCTTATTAAATAATATAATTAAAATGGAAAAAATGGAAATGATTTCATCTCATTTGCCTCTTGTAAAAGACAGAGGAGAATGGAATCAATAGACATTTATAATTAGACCCAAATTTGAAAAGAAATAGAGATAAAGTATCGATAATTAATTAGAAATATAATTTCCATTGCATAGAGATTTTGACTTTGTAGCTAATCATGCTATGGGTTTCAAAGGAAAAGGAAATGTTGACTTATTCAAGTTTTACTATAGATTATACATGAAGAATAAATTTGCAATTCAGAAAATAAGAAAAGAAAAGAAAACTAAAGAGGGATAAAAAAAGAATGAAAATACTAAAAAATAATAATTGAATTAAACTGAAGAACCAAATACAGAAGAGATACGTAATGCATATAAAACAATAGAGATTAAACCACCATCTTAACAAAAATAACTGAAATTTGTTAGAGAATGCATTAAAAATTTATAATAATAAGCTGCTATTGTCAATAAACATATAGAATTACCTAAATTAGTATCTCCATAAACTTAAATAAAAATAGTAAATATTGATACATCAAAAATCCCTTAAGCTAAAACAAGAGATTAATAATTGGAATTAGAAGAATTAATGCTAAGTAGAGTAGTATAAGCAATATAGGAATCTCAAATGGTTTCACATGAAGATGTAAGAAAAGTAAGAGAAATCATTATGTAAAGACACAATTAATTAAGTGAAATAGAGAGAGAATTATAATTAAATTAAATTCTTGGAATTAAAAAATAAATTTATTAAAGAGAAATGGCTATGAAGAATGAATTAAATAAACCTCCAGGGATTGATAATCCTGATAATTTTAATAATTTTAATGAATTAAGTTCTATCTAAGAAGTATCAATTATTAAATCTATGCAATATAAATCATAACCTAATGTAAGTGTTACTGAATATAAATTTCATAATTATGAAGATGAACCTGAATTAGAAAATATAATTAATAAAAATAATAGAGTTAATTTAAAATAGAAATAAATAGAAGAAACACTTATATAAGAATAATCAACTGAAATGCAATCTATCTTATAATAAATTAGATCCACTTCTCTTGCTACAAAAGGAAATGAGACTGAACATAGTAAAGAGAAGATCTTAGATAAAAATAAATTATTACCAACTTTAAAATTCTTAGAATAAGCAAAATAATAAATTTTATAAAGATCTGATAATGATAGTCAATAATTCTAATAACCATATTTTTAACCTGATATTGGTGATACTAGCAAGTCTAAGGTTTAATAAAGTCTATCTATGGTATCATAATTACAAAATAAAACAAGTAAAACCATTAAATCTAGTGTCAATAGATCAAATTAATTGGCATCTTCTTAATCCCATCATCATTCAAATTAATTAAGTATTGAAAAGAAACAAACCGAAACTATGAGAAAAAGTGCCTATAAATTAAATGAAGAATAAAAGGCTAAAGTATCTACAAAACAACTTGATGAAAGTGATGATATACAATTTGAAAGATAAAATTATTATGAAATGAAATTCAGTTAAATTCTATAAAGAGTAATTGATTAAAAGAAAATTTAAGGAGGAGCAGCAGAAGAATCTTAATTATCTCAAACTCTCTCTTAAGTTGAATCTGAAACTGTCTAAAAAATAACATAAAATCTAGTATCTAATATCATTAATATGCATAAAAATCCAACTCCAATTATGGATTAACCTTCTACTTTCAATTATTTAGATATTGATTCTGATGATTAAGAAAAAGTAACTTAAAGTATACCAGTTATGAAAAATGAAGATGTTCCTGAAGAATTACGTAGACATCTTTCTTATAATAGAGACATATCTCATTTAGATCATACATTTAAAATTGAGAGTCAAGTGTCACTATCTGATAAAAGATTAAATGAAGAATAAATTGCTAATATTATTTAATAAATTTCATAATAATTATAATAAGCTCAAATACCACATGATCAAATTGAAAAATAATTAAATGAAATTACTAATATTTTACTTAAACATCCTATTAATAAATTATCATCTAAATTATTAAAATAATCCACTACAATTATGTAAAATGAACCAAATAAAAAGATATTTTTAGAAGAAACTAGATATCCAATTAAAGCACCTAAAATATCTCATAATAAAGAATAAATTGATTATTTAAAATTTTATGAAGAAAATGCTCCTTCAAAATAAGAAAAATCAAGGAAAAGCTATAAAATATAAGATAATACTAAAAGATCTAAATAATCTGCCATGATTAAAAATATGTCTGAAGATGAAAGAAAAAAATTTCTAGATTCTCATAAAATAAATCTTTAAGAAAGAGCTAATTCTTAAGAAATGGATGAAGAATTAAATTTTTTATAATCTGTTATTGATGATCAAAAGAAATAAAGAGAATAAATATTTACAAAGAAATAATCTTAACCAATTTAATCAGGTAAAAATACATCAAGAGATTAAATTGATTTTGATGAATCCAGTGAAAAATAGTAAAATACATTTAGATCTCATAATCCACCAACTAATATCAATTATGAATCTCATCAAATTAAATAAGGATAAACAGAAACCAATTTTAATCTAAGAAAACCTTAAATCAAATAAAAAACTGATTAAACTTTTAATAAATCTGAAAATACTTAATAATTTTAAATCTCTAGTTAATAAGGTACTTAAAGATCAGATCCATATAAAAGTAAAACTAAAAGAACAAATCATGATGAATAATATTAACCTGATGGATCCTTAAAATCTAATGGTACCTAAAAAAGTTTAAAATAAGGTAATAGAGAAAGTAGTGATAAAGACAATGAAAAATAAGAAGTATATTCTCCAAACTTATCAGTTGAAGAAGTACCTCATTAAGATGAATATGATGAATTAACAGACAAAGAAGATGAATAATATGTTGAAGAAATCTAATAATAAATAGATGAAAATGGAAATACTATTAATATATTAACAAAAAGATCTATCAAACAAGTAACTGAAAGAACAAAGAAGTCAGAACCTAAATAAAGTGAAAGATCTAAAAAATCAAAATAATCAGATTAGTAATAATAATAATAATAATAATAATAATAATAATAATAACTATAAATAAATAAATAAAATCCAAGAGATAAAACACAATAATCTTAGTATTAAGAATAGGAATAATAGTAAAACTATGAATTAAATTAAGTTTAATAAACTAAATAAATATTAAATTAATAAGAATTAATTAATAATAATAATAATAATGAAGATAGATAGATTAAATTAAATTTTCAACGTTAGGATAGTAATTAAAATATTGCTGAAAATACTTAATCATAATAATTAAGAAATAGAACTAATTTATAAGATATTTAATTGAAAAACTATTAACCTTCATAAAATTAATCATTTGTCAATAGTGGTGGAACACCTCAATAAAATAATACTCCTCTTTAATAACCTGGTAAAAAGTAAGGAAATAAGAAAACTAAATTTGAAGATTAAAGTAACACACCTTAAGCAAAATTATAAAGAGTGAAAACAAAATTATCAAGATTTTAAGAAGCTGCCAATAATAATGATGATTAAGACTATGATTATGATTGGGATGAAGAAGATCCTAGTAATAAAAAGAAGAAAAATACATCAAAATCAAGTAAATCTACTTTGAGAAATGATATTTAATCACCATCTGTTTCTCCAATGGCTAAGTAACAAAACTAAGCTACTATAGCAAAAAAGAAAGTTTATGATCTAAAATAAGAATATGAATTAATTGCAAGATAGAATTTGAGTTTGGCTGATCTTAAGAAGGATATTGAAAAGAAAATTACATAGTTATAGAATCCAGATGATGAAGCTAAATATAATATTTATCTTTGTAAATTTATTTGATAAAATATTTTAGATGAATAACGTTAAAAGTAATTGAAAAACTTACCATAAGCAATTGAAGGATTAATTAATGATAAGAGAGAAAATGAAAATGCTTGTGGTGATATGATACGTAAATTTCATGAAAATAGAATGAGATATAAAGATGTAATAGAAAAGGATTAGACACTTAAATTTACTAATCAAATTTAATTAGATGATGAATAATAAACTTAAATAAACACATAATCTCATCTTGATGAATATATGAGAGAAGTATAAATGAATATTTAAAGAATGATTTAATAAGTGTAATTAGGTATATTATATATATATATATTATTAATTAGAATAAATGAGAGATCATCCTGAAGTAAGAAAAGAATGCTTTGACTTTGATACAAGTATTATTTAATAAAGAAAAATGGAATCATTAGCAAGTGAAATAGTATAGACTTAAGCTTAAATGCAAATATATGAAGAACCTACTTAAGAGACTTAAAGAAAGACTCAACGTTTAGAACAAGATTCAATAATGTCTAATTAGATTGATAAAAAATTTGAAATTTTAGAATAGAAATTAAGATCATTGAAATTGAAGAATCCAGAGAAATTTAATTAAATTGTAAATACAGAGATAGTAAAAACAGATTTATTTTTGTCAACTACAAAACACAAATATATTTTAGAATGATTAAAATATTATTAATTAATTTAATTAATAAATGAACAATATAATCTTAAATGTTGATACAAGATGTAATCAAATATTTGTAAACATTGTTCTATAGTAAAATAGAGTATACAAAAGACGACTTGATAGATTTAATATTTATCTAGTAAATAAGTATACCAATAAAATTATTTGTGATGATTTTTACAATTAAAAATATTTATTTGAATTCTTATTGGTGGACTGTCAATAATAATTATATGATATATCAATATGTGTCATAAAAAATTAAATATGCTTAACCTTGTAATGGTTACTTTGTAAGAGTAACTTTTTTGTCAGAAGTAATATACCATTCACATTTTTTGTATGATTTATTTTGATTCATTGATGATTCAAGATCCTAAGCAAATGTCCTTTTGAATGCAATATAATGGCCTAGATAGATGATTTAAGATACTCACCAGAATTAGAATCACCTATATGACAAACTAATGCTGATAAAATGTATTCTTTTTCAGCAACCTTAAAAGTAGAATCTAAATAAACTGAATGATCTAATTTAATCAATCCATGATAGGGATGTACAATTAATCTATTGACAAAAAAACAAAATGTTTTCTTAGAATAGATTTATATACAAATACTGGATATTTTGCTATATGAGTCTAACGTGTCACAGTTCTTTTAAGACATGCTTTCTATGGATCTATCTAAAATTGATTGCCTTTGACTACATTTAGTTATTCAATAATCTTTTTAATTATGGTTAAAGAATCCTCATCATAATTATTATTTGAGAGATATTAATCAATAATCTTCTATTACTCATTTAATGTATATTTCTTCCTCAAAAATTACAAAGAACAATAGAAACATATATATTCAGTGATTATTTCAGGTTATTAGATATAATCAATTGCTTCTTAAATTGTTCTTGCATGATTAAGATGAAAATAAAATGCATAATTACTTTCTACTTTTAGTGAATTAAACTAAATTTATTAGAAGATATTTACAGAATAATTACAAGTATTGCATTTAATTTAAACTTTTGTATGATGAAGAAAAGGATTCTTAGATTTCATTTATTTTGATCTTAACATTGTTAAATCAAATGAATTAATTTGATTATTTGCTTCTTCAATATGTTTCATTAACATGTTAAAAAGTTCATGAGAATCTTATTATTAATAAAAAAAAGAGTAATCAGCATCTTCAGATAGAAGATTAATTAAATCATTAACATCTATTATTTCCATATCATTATTTAGGTATTTCATTATTTTAGCCAATTCTAAACATATCTATTAAGCTAATGTTGTTTCTCCATTAATATGCTAAACTAATTCAAATAAATATTCAATAAAATTTGGTTATGAACTTAAGGCCACTAATTATGTTATTTATCGTACTTATAATACTGAATTCAAGAAACATGTATTCCCTATATTTCTTATACCTGCTGGTTTCTTTATGTAATCAAGTGTTGTAGATGACTATAGTAAACTGAATTCTATTTAACCTATTGGCTTCTATTATTTAGATTTTATTATATATTTAAATGACCCAAGTAATGCAAATACTAAAGCACCTCCATAAATCAAATAGCCTTTATTTTTAATCATATTTATATTTAAAATTTTTATTAATATATTTAAGTAATTTATTTCAATAAATCACTTTTGTAATGTAAGCAAACAATAAAGTCCCTGTGGATATCCATAAGACTCTTGAAGATAATTTTAAATCCATCAAAGAGCAGGGAATGAATGAAATTTGTAATTTCATGTTATCCAGTTTACGTGATTAGGTAACTTAAATTTAAATAAATATCTTAAGGACTTGCCATAACACATAAGATTATAATATTTGTATAATGTCCATTAGATCAATTAGAAAATGAGTTTAATTGAATTGTGTAACAATCAATTAGAATTGAACATAGTAAACAATATCAAATATGTATTCTCAATGCAGTATGATAGAGTAAGGGTAAGATTTAGATTAATTACTGAATTAAATGGATACATCCCTCATTCCTTCATGTGAATATTTGAGACCCATCCCTTAAATATTAACACCATAATGGGAAGAGATTTCACCTCAATTTATACATTAACCAATTTGGGATTATAATATTAATCCATTCCTCTTTCGATTTTTCTTAGCATAAGCACAATCCACCAAGCTTACTCCATAAGATTAATAAATAATCTTGACTTTATATAAGTCTGAATATAAAATTGATATCATTCAATTCAATAATCTTGTTGAACACAATCCTTAATTGGTTAGTGATATCATAACTAAACTACACTAATCTGGAATTAATGTCCATGAGTAAATCTTTAATTATTATTATTCTATAGATATTTAGATTATCTCATTCAGATTAAGGTTACCATTTAGACTTTAGAATTAGTGAATCAACTCACTAAGAATATCACTCTTCCTGATCAATTTCTTAATATGTTCATAACAAGATGTATTGTTACTTGTGAAGAAGTCAAATAAGTAATTATTTTTATTTCATTATTTAGAATTAATAACAATTAACAAGATAAGTCAGACTAGTATCAGTCTTCATTAAGACTTTGATTAAATAAAAGACTTTTAATCCAAAAAAGATTTATGTTGAACTCTAAGGATTCTGTTTAGAGTTTTCTTCTATTTAAGAAGCAACTCAATTATTTAAAGCCATCAAAAATGCAGTCCAAGAATAATGAGTTTAAATATCAATATAATATTTTATTATTATTATTTCTTATGAGACATTAACGAGTTGAATCTCTAGGTCCAATGGAAGAAGTAAGAAAGAAACACACAAAAAGTGAAATCGTATTGTCTTCCATGTTCAGATTACCTAAGGTACAAGTACCATAAAGTAACATCAATTTAATAATTGTAGGTTCAAAAAATGCATTATCTGTAAATCCTAATTGGTCACATTTTAACTATTAAAATGATCATTCAAAAACTAATAATACATTTGTTGAAATATAAGATATTCTTTAATAATAAGTTACATTACAATATCCTAATATATTACCTTAAGTAAAAAAATTCATTTAATAATCATAAATGGGTATTACTTTAACAGAATTATCTAAAAATAGTTAATTAATTGATAGCTCAATCAATCTTTTTACTTAATCTATATAAATTATGCTTTAAATCATTAAAGAAAAAGAACCTAAAAAAATTGATATAAATCCTTAAGTAGAAACTGAAATTTAAAGAAAATTCTCAATAGCTTTAATAAAAGAATCTAATAATAAAATAGATAGAGAAACATAAATCTTAAATAATGAGTTAAAACTTATTAATCATAAATTGTAGATTGAACTCAATCAATTAGCTACTAAATTAAGAAATCTAGAGATAAGCATGGATGTTGATTTATTAAAAGAAAAAATTAAAGATTTAACTGAAGAGTTAAAATAAAGAACTTTGGAATTGAAAATTGAAATTTAAAATAGAGATTAATAACTGATCAAACATTTATAAAAAATAGCATAATTAAAATCGATAATATAATAACATGAAGAAAAAATAGAAGAATTATAAACTTATATCAATAGTAATCAAGAAAGATTTACTTAAATGGAAACTACATATATGTCTGTCTATAATGATAGATATTATTGGAAAGACATATCAAAAATGTTGGAAGAAGACTTATTAAGTTAATAGATGAGATATTAAAAATTTTTAGCAGATGAAGCAAAATCTAAAAAGAAATTGTAATTGCTATAAAGAGAATTAGATTAGATTAAAATAGAGAAAAGTAAAAGAGTTGAAATTCCAGAATTTAATAAAGAAGCTGAAGAAAATCTTTAAAAATTATTATATTTATTTACAAAAGAGAAATTTCATATGGTTCAAATGAAAGCCTTTATTTAAGATAAAATGAGTAAATTAAATGAACAAGAATAATAACAATATTAATTTATGAAAAATTTAAAATTAGATCATATTTATATGGATAGACTCAACAAATATACATATCCTAGATAATCATTCTTAGTATTTTATGAAAGTCAAATTAAACTTATAGAATCAGAATATAAAAACATTAATAGACATAAAATTTCTCTAAACTACTTTGCAATTATCAGAGCAATTTTAGATGCTAAATTTAATGAGTTTTAGTATTTAGAGAATTTACAAATAGCTACAAAATTTGCAGATTTTGTTTTTGCTTGGATAAGCACTTTTTCATTAGATAAATATACAAAATAAATCATTTAAGTGAGCTAAGATTAAATAGATAATATTCGTTTAGATTTTCTTATGGACACTTTAAATCCAAAATTAGGTTAAATACATGAAGTCATAACGTTTAAGTATTTAAATTAAAATAAATAGTTAATTTTTATTTGAGTAATCATCTCTAGATGAAGTATATTATTATTTGCATTGTAGATATATGCTTTTCAAAGGATAAGTTAAAAATCTATCAAGATCCAATTTTGAAACAATTATGTATGTTAGATAAGAATAAGCAGAATAATTAATCTAAGAAATTATGCATAAATATCCTGTTGAATAAATTAATTATACAAAAAATTTAATTAAAGAAATGATTGTTACTAAAAATAAGAAAAAATTAGTTGATGGTCATTATGTGTTAAGAATTTTACTTGAACTTTATAGATAAGAAAGATAGACAAGATTAGCAGTATTAAAAGAAATGTTTCATTCTTGTTTATCCTTATAAAGTTTTGGAAAATATGGAGTAAATTATAAAAATTTTAGAAAAATCTTCTAATTCAATTTTCCAACTTCATCTGAAATTGAAATATGCACTCTATTTAGAGAAGCACATATGTGTGGTGATGGTATTGTCACTGCAGAATCCTTTTTTACTGCTGCTACAGAATAAAATTTCTTTATTAAATAATTGTAATTATAATATTTGATGCATCCTCCATAAGTTGAATTTTATAAACTTAGTTATTGTGAATTTAATTTACCATACTTAGATTTTTATAATCATTATAGTCAAATACCAAAAAAACTAATTCAAAATGTTTGTTTGTCAATGGGATTAGAATATGTTAATGCTGAGTTAAATAAATACTATTAAATTATTGATGCTTTATTTGCTCATCCATATAATATTTATTCTTTATTATAGATGATGACTAAGTTGATTAATATTTTCAATAAAATATAAATGCTTAAAAATCTTCAGAAAGTACAAGAGGATTGGACTAGTATAGAATTAGAAGCAATAAGATAATTAGTAAATTAAATTCCTGGAGTTTTTGGGTTAATTTTAGATTTGGATTAAGAAGATAGATTGAATGTAATATAAAAGAATTAAAAAATTCGTGCCTTGCAATTGATAGGCAAAAGAAAAGCATTAAAGTTTTATTCATTTATATCAGCAATGTTGAATGCTAAAGTCAAATAAGAAAAATAACCTGATGCATCACCAAAAAGAGGGATGAGAAAATCTGGTAAATTTTGAATTTATTTATTTTATTTTTAAATTTAACTAATAATAATTTATAATTAATTTTATAATTTGTATAACTTTTTCTCATTTTTATACTAAAACTGCTTTAAGCAATTAATCAATTTGTAATTTATTTTTTATAATTTAAGCTTTAATGTTTTGTATTTTAGATTTCTTCTCTTTTATTACTTCTTCAACTTCAGCAATTTTATCAAATAATGGTTATTATGCCTATATTATAATAAATAATTATTACTTCTTCAGTTGCTCTATTCATATCTACCATCTTTTGTTTTGAGACATTATAGATCTTTCTCCATTATTACAATTCTCTATTCATATTTTCAATATCATCTTATATAAATTCAATTTATTTAGCCAATGGATTCACATTTTGACTCATAGATTGGATTAATTTTTGCATTACAATTGTATCAGAAACTTGTGATGTTCCTAAATTTTATGCAATTTCTTCCTTTATTTTATCTATTTATAAAATTTAAGTAAATACCTTTTTAAACATTTACTTTTCCTATCCTTTTCATCTTAATACCTTCTTAAGGTTAATCCTTTTCTTTTTCTTTCTCCTCATCCTTACCCTTATCTTAATTTTTCATATTATCTCTTACGAATTTACCATATTCTTATGCATTAATATCAGCATTTGGTTTCACATTACTTTAAACTATTATTCCATCATCATCATCATTATTTCCTTTACCCTCTATAATTACATTTGCTGTTCCTCCTTTCTTCTAATTCTAATCAACTGAAACTTGATTGGTAGGTAATTAAGGTGGTCTTTTTTTAGCTGTTGAAGGTCGTACATTTCCTTCTTATGTCTATTACTATTAAGGAGGAGGAGGTTATTATTATTTTTAAGCTTCTTTTGGCTATTAAGCAGGAGGTTATTAAACTTATTATTTTGGCTTTTAATCTTCTTTAGGTGGAGCAACTTTTTTCTCTTCAGGTTTCTTTTCTTCCTTAATTTAAGGTGCAGCTTATTCTTTTGGAGGAGGCTATTGAGCTTTTTGTTCTGGTTTAGACTATTCTTTTTTAGGTGGTTCGGGTTCTTTGGCTCCTGCTCCTGCACCTCCTAATATCTAAAATTATAAAACAGTATTACTTTCTTAACAAAAGCATCACTATTTTTACCACTCACAGCTGCTCTGTATATTGCTTATAATAATAAATTAGTATTTTCAGGTTCCAAACCTGCAGCTATTTTACCAGGTTTTGCAGCAATTTCCTCTTTCAACATCATGGATGTCAAATCTATAATCTTCTATAAGAATTAAAGCTTCTTATCTTTATTATCATATGTATTTCCATCCAATTCATCACCTGTATAGAGTCCTTTTGCATAGCCTAATGTAAATTTAAATTTGAAACCTGTTTATTTAGTTGTCTCCATAATAATATCAAATAGATATTTGAATGGAGGTTTTTCAAGTAACTTCTATGACATTTTTGGCTTTTCGAATAGAGCACTATACATATCTGCTGTAGGTTTCCAAAAGTCTGCCATATTATTTTATTAAAAAAGAAATAATAATTGAATATAGATGTATTATAATTTAAATAAGGGGAACCTATCACATTACTAATGTGAATCTATGATGAATATGAATGGATTACTAATAAATTAGACTTAGAATAGATATGAAATGTATTAATATTTTGAATAGAAATTAATATTAAATGATAGTATGAGATTTTAAGATCTATATAAACATTTTATATTCTTACAATAACTTAGTTATATTATACTCTAATTTTATGAATTAAATTAGAAAATATAATGTTTATTTATCTTTTGACTTTATAATCAGTTACATGTATATAATATATCTATACATAAACTATAGATAATCAAATTTAGTAAGAACTCATTATAATGAACTCAAAATATATTTACAGTTTTAATATCATATACTAAATCGTTTATTCTGTTAGAAATGAATCGATTACTATTTTCTATTTATTTAAACATTCCATATCTATCTTCAAATTCAGTTAATTATTTCATTATTGAACTCTCCATGACTCTAGTATTCATTTTGTATGAGTCATTTAATATTAATTTAAATTAATTATAACTCTCTTTTTTACCTAGTTTCGAAAATTATTGCATTACTTCAACTTCTTTATCTTAAAATTGTTAATAAATAATACTTAATAATTTTTATTTTTAATTTATAATAGTTTATTCTAACTAACGATAAGAATCATCACATAATTTTTTAAAAAGATCTACTAATTTATCCTAAAAATCATATAGAACTTATAAAAAATATTAATCTGGTTTATTTTTTTTTTAAATTAATTTATTGTCATTATTTATAGTAAAATTTTAAAGTATCCTTAGAAGAATAGTATCTACAGATTACCAATCTCTAAGTTTAAAATTCTTAAAAATCCATTCTATCTCTTAAAATCGAATATGAGATTTTATTAATTTATCTGCTGCTGAAAGAATTGCTTTTTCACTTTTATATTCATGTAATTAATTCATAGTTTAACTTATTTTAGTAATTATCTAAAATAAATTTGTGTCTTTAAAAGGAGTTTCCTTTATTTGATTGACTACTTCCATGTTTAAATTTATTAAAGAATTATTTCTAAATTGCATTTTTCTTGAAAAAAACTATGGAGATTAATATTTGGATAATTATGGAGATTTTCTAGCTGTTGAAACTATTTATTTAGATTCAATAGCATAATCTGAATTATCTATTTTTAATTTTCTATGTTATCTAGTTGAGTCAGAGGGAGATTAAAAAGAAGCTAAAGGAAGTTCTGAGTGTTTAAAGATTCTTTTTAATTGGTTCTTAGACTTTGTACTTGACACTACTTCTATTGAGGGTAAACTATCTACTCTTATTTTAATATCTCTTTGTTAATTCAATTACTTTGACATCCTTTTAGAACAAATATAAGCTATAAATATTAATATGACCATATATCTATAAATATTATATATATAATAAATATATATTCATATGTATAAAAATGAATTGATTGTAAAATAACATTCATCTATTAATTTATAGTGTGTTTAAGGTGATCAGTATAATTATTTTTAGTTGCATAAAATTTATTTTTAAATCTATTGTTATTTTTAGATAACTTTATTTTTAGAGTTACTAATGATTGATTTATTATATTTTCAGTGTATTAAAACACAAGAACAAACAAAATTATTTTAATTCAGAATAATAAATTGTACATTTATAAAATATTGAAAATAGTGAACAATAATATTAATACTCAATCATTTTATATACTTTATTAAAATTATAAAGGAAATATATCAGAATTGGTAATTTATTGTAATTAATTTTTTAATGCTTAAATTTATTATTCTTAGTTGATAATAATGTTATTTTTCTATTTTAATTCATATTCTAATCCTTAAATATGCAATTTTTATTTATCAATCATTTTAATCAATTCTATCTAGTTATTTTAGACAGAATTTATATTAACTTATTGTATATTAGATGTTTATTAAAATTGATCAAACTCCTTCTCTTATAATAATGGACCAGCTCCTATGGCAGCTAAAATCTAAATATATATAATGAATTCTACTTATTCAACTTGACTATTAGTATTTTTACCACTCACAGCTGCTCTATAAATTGCTTACAATAATGCATTTGTTTTTTCTGGTTCCAAACCTGCAACTATTTTAATAGGTTAAGCCTAAAGTTCTTCATTCAAAATGATAGAAGTTAACTAAATTATTTTTTGCAAAAAGAATATCTTTCTATTTTTAAGATGATAATAATTTGAATCCAATTCATCACCTGTATATAGTCCTTTTGCATAGCCTAAAGTAAATTTAAATGTAAAACCTGTTTATTTAGATGTCGCCATTATAATATCAAATATATATTTGAATGGAGGTTTTTCAAGTAATTTCTATGACATTTTTGGCTTATCAATTAAATAAATGAACATATTTGCTGTAGTCATCCAAAAATCTGCCATATTATTTTATTAAAAAAGAAATAAGAAAAATTTTTTATAAAATTCATAAGATTACATAAATGTATTTATTTATATTTTATGTATATAGATATTGATTCAATTATCTTTTTTGATTATAGACTCAATCTTTACTTTATTAAATTAATAAAACTTATTTGATTTGATTATAGTTTTGTATAATTTTTAAAATCTACTACTAATTTTAATCTAAATTAGTTCTATTTGTCTTATTATTTCTATATATAATGGGAATTTATAAAAGTTTGATTTTGATTTTACCATATAAACTAAAGGTATTAAAAATTTACTATATAAGAATGATTATTTATTAACAATTATTATAAAGTAATGTCTATTTATATTTGTAGAGTATAAAAAGTAAGTAAATTATTAGAATAGAGATAATAAATTAAAGAGATAATGATTATTTTTGATTTTTGTATATAATTATTTATTTTATGTAGAATGTCCATTTTAGTTTAAAGGTATATTTTTGGAAATGAATGGATAGTAATGTTTAATAATAGATATAGTTTTGGTATAATGGATATTTAAATATAAATAATGTTGATTATTATTAATAAATTAAAAATGTCATAAAGTGACCCTGCTTATTTTGAGAAACAAAAGGAAGCCTTGAATAATTTTTTATAAAATAGAAGTGAAAGCTTTTCAGAACGTAATATATATGATATTCGGGATCGGTTAAGCAGGATTTCAGAGGAATCTCATTCGGAGCGAACTCGAGATCCAAATCATGTATTAATATTGATTAATGGTAATTGTAGTAAAATTTACAGAATTATCAAAAGTGGTTTATTGAGAATAGTTTAAACTTTGTGGTTTATGTATTATCAAATGTGGAGCCTCAAATAAGTCGTAATGTGAAGTTCAATGTTAGAGCAGCTACAGTTGAATTACTTTAAAAAAAGATTCTATTGTAACATATGACTTAGTCAGTGGTTGATTAACTTACAATAGTTTTAGAAAAGGATAATGAGAATAATGCAGCCATAGCTATTCGAATTATGAATGATTTACTAAAGACTAATTAATAACAATCACATTAATATTAGAGATCAAATAGTATATTTACAGATGCATTACTATTAAAATTATTCAATTTTTTTGAATAGAGAATTGAATTTTTAGTGAAATTTAATAATGAGTTAAAGAAATCATAATATAAGAAATTAATGGGAGATAATTAAATTAATGCATTTCATGATTAAACATATATATTATAACATGAGAATGATGATAATAATAATAATAATAAACGTGAAAAAGACATTCGATTGAATATATATAGTTTATCATTTGTGACCAATATACCTCCATTTTTTATCTATACAATTTTTGCCCTTGATTCTATTATCAGGGATGAGGTAAAATAGAAAATAAAGCTAGACCAAAACATAAATGAGAGAAGTCTTGAAGAGAGCACTTAAAACCATGAATTAAGTTATAAATGAAACCAATTTTTAAGATTTATTACAGAAAGTACCAAGAAACATAGTTTAAGAACTATTTAATGCATATTCTAAATTTTTATAATTATTTGCACTTACTATAAAAAGAGATGAATCATAAATGCAATCATAATCTAGAATTATTAAAGATTTAGCTGATACTGTTAAATTAGATTAAGTTGTAGCTACAATCATTAAAACACTTAAACATTGTCCAGTTGATATTATGCATATAAGAATTGATATTAGTAATCGTCTTAAATAAGCTATGATTTAAAAAAGAGATCCTGTATAACCAAATGAAATGTAAGATAAAATTAATGAAATTAATGCTAATGTAGTAGAATTAATAGATGAAGAAACTATTGTTGGTAAAAATCTTAAAATACCACCTTTTCAAAAATCTAGTATCTATCATAATTGGTTAGAAATTGTTAAACATGTTGTTCAAAGTTATTTACCAAAAAGTGATTAATCTCCTTAATAAATGAATAATCTAGAAAAAATGTAAACTGATTTTATCAATAATCAAATCTATATGGAAAAAATCTTTAATACAATATTTAAATTATTGTTTGATTCATCATTACAATTATAAATTCATGAAAAAGCCTTAGATTTAATTAAAATATTTCTTGATTTATTTAGTAAATAATCAACATACTTTATTGATAAAAATTTACTATAATTTTATGTAGATTAAACTTAATAATAATAAAATGATAAAATATTTAAAAAAATTACAAAATATAGTCCAAAATATAAATTACTTGATAGATTATTTTCTATGATAGGAATGAAATTAAATCAAATTAGAAAATAAATATAATAAATCAAATAAATGCTAATTAGAACATAAAGATGGGGAATTACAAAAAAAACTACACCTTAAACTAATGTTGCTTCAATACCTAGTAATCCAGATGCTCTTAATGAAAATTATATCTCATAATTAGAATAATATATATTAGAATCAGAAATAGATATTGATCATAATCTAATTACTCAACAAGATTAAACAGCTACTCAAGTTTATACTTATGATGATGAAGAAGAATTTTAAATAAATTCTCTAAGTATAAGTAATTATACTTAATATGTTGAATTTGCAAAAGATTTAAAATCAAAGGTTTTTGATTAATTAAATGATATCTTATAGAAATTATTGATATTTGTTACTAGTACAAATAAAGAGATTATTAATAAACAAAAAAATAGAACTAATTATATTATGCCTACAAAAATTACTCCATTTATTTAGGTTATTAGTGATAATAAACCATATCTTAGTAATATATAATGTCATTATATGTCTAAAATATTGAAAAATGGATTAATGATATTTGATGAATTGCATGATCATTAAAGAAATCATTTTGAAATTCTTGATTATAAGAAAAAGACTATATCTTAATTTATGCAATTCTTTATTTAATTTTAGGATCCAATTAATTTTAAAAATATATTTGAACCTAATTCAAAATTAATCTTGAAGATTTCTGTAAATTTAATAAAAACTTGTCCAGAAACCAATTGTCTTCCTATATTATTATAAGATCATTTGGGATTTAATAATTAATAATCAGATTCTTAAAATCCACATAAATAATCAATAAAATATTATATAGAATTTTTATTACATTTATATTTAAAAGAATTACAAACAACTCCAGAATTACCAACAAAATTTGGTTATATTAGAGGTGGATAATTAATGAAAAATTAAATGAATATTTAATAAAAGGATTAAGATGAATATATTTCTTTAATATAAAAGTTACTTAGAATACCAATAAGATAATTTCCAAGAGTAAAATGCTAATAAAATGAAGAACCAATAGTTAAACCATTAGTAAAATAACTTATTCTATTTTTTGTAAAAAAAACTCATGAAACATATTATCCAATAGATTTTTTAGGTTTATTATTATCATTAGTTAAAAGAATTTAAATTAATGATCAAGGAGAAGGATTATCAAAATATTTTTAATAGTTATGTGATAAATATGATAGAAATGATAAATAATAGATGATATAAAGATAATAATATGAACTATATCATAGATTAAGTATGAGTGGTGTGAATATAGTATTAAATATGTTTGAATTATTTTAAACAGGAATAGTGGAAATTTAGGATATAGTTGCAGAAGTAATAGCTAATTTTCCATTATAAAAAACAATATAAATTAATTTAGCAAGATAATATCCAATATTTGCATAATGTTTATTTCGAGCATTACATAATATATCAACAATAGAAAATTAAGTAATATAAAAAACATTGATGATGTTAGAGAATATTGTTACTAATTTGAGTATGGAAGAGATGAAAGAATTCTTTGGAGATCTATTATAACCATTTATTGAAAAATTGCTGACTTTTCCATCTGAATATAAGATGGCTGATATTTATTCAAAATAAGTGAATTTATTTTTAGATCCTTCTTTTAAATCATTGAAAATACTTTCAAAATTAGGTTCATTAGTTCGTAAATCAGAATGGCCAATTGAAATTAAAAGAAATCATACTGATAATTCTTATAAAAGGAATTAATATTTAGAAGTTTAAATAGAAGGATTATAATCATCTATTAAATTGAATCTTACTGAAACTGTAAGATGTGCTGTAGAGATATTATAAAATGTATTAGAATAATAATTAGCTACTTATCTATTTAAATAATCATCTATTTAACATAGTTATTCAATTGTTAAATAAGTTCTTTTAGGATATTATTAAATGCCTATTTAATTTGATCATGATTTGTATAATTATTAAATACCTTAAGGGATGGCATTAGAAATGAAATTATAATCTCGACAATGTGAATAAGATCATTTGATTTATTAAGATGAAGAATTGATATTTGCAGTAACTAAAGTTTTTATTGGATTAAGTAATTTCCATAATATTATACAAACATTGACTACTGCAACATTCCATAAGATAAAAGAAGATGTAGAGAATGTAGTAACAACTTTATCAGAAATGTTTTTTATTTAATTAGCTGATGATCATTGTGAAATCATTGAAAAGATTAAATCTTCAAAACCAGACATTAATTCTTTATTTACAATGACAGAAACTATAGTATAAAATTATTTAATTTTAAAACCTCAATGTATTAAATGGATTTCTTTTCTTTTCAGAGGATTGAATAAAAGATATATGTTAACAGCTGAAGAAAATATGAATTTCAAAGATTTCTATATTTAATAACATGAATTCATTTGGAATAAGTTATTAATGGGTAATTGTTTAAAAAAATATAAAAAAATACTTGATAATCATATGTAAAATCATTAAAATAAAAAATGGGCATATGATGTTTATTATTCAGTTGTTATTAGATTATTTGAAGAATTTGTATATGAAAAGTTTGGAAAATAAACTTAATTATAAAAAGAAGATGATCGTCGTCGTAAAATCTAAATAGTTTAATGTATAATTTAATATATTATTTATTTTAGCATATGGAGGAACAATGATTCCATCAGAAGGATTAAATTGTAGATCTATTTCTATTGAATTATTAACTGAAATACAAAATCTTCTACCTAAATTTGAAGATTATTATAAATCTACTTAAATAGTAGGATTACCTTACATTCCAGATTAAAGAATTATTGAATGTTCATTCATGTTACTCAGATAATTACCAGAATCTATTAAAGTTATTTCACAATAACTCACTAAAAACTTATTAAATCAAACATTAAATTAATTAATAAAAAATCTTAATTATGACCATTCAATATATGAATATTCTCATTAAAGTATACTTCTTTTATAAGATAAATTACGTTGTTTTATTAAGATTGTTACTTAGAATTGTCTAACTTATAAAAAATCCATATTATAAATTTGTACAGATCTCTTTGATACTGTAATTACTCAACATTTTAATGAGAATTCAGGATCATTATTTTATATGAATATTGGTTAAGAGATGAAATGTAATCATGAAGATAAGATTGAATCTATACCATTAGACAATTTATAATAATTAGGAAATGGACCAAATCTTTGGGTTAATATTGAATTTTCAGAAATTCTTATATCTCCATATACTCAAAATACTGTATTGAAAGAATTAGTTATAATTATTAAATAATTATGTGAAGAATAGAAGATGTCAGATATTATAGCATAGAAGTATGCAAATGGATTTAGAATTCTTACTTATTTGCTTCGAAAATAAGGACTTAATAAATAAGGTTAATATTATTATCTTTTTAAAACTGTTATTTTAAATTAAGAACCTCATTTAGAATTGAAAATAGAAGAATATGTTCAAAGATCATATAAAATCTTATAATAAAATGAGGAATAGTATTCTAAGCAATCTAAATTAATTTTGAATGGAGAAGACTCTTAATCAGCATATATTAATGTATCACATGCTTTAGATGATTTTGATTTTAAAATTAATATTGAAGATATAGATTTTGAAATTAAATGGTAAAGTCAAATGGTAGTTTCTATATTTGGATTTCTTAAACAAATAGCAACTATCAATTATATATATGCAATTTAAAAATACTTATTAAAATCAATTGATAAAAATTTCTTATTGAAACCTTCAATTTTGTCTATGAAATATAAGATAGTAGAAATTTTATATGAAGGATTGTTGAGAGTAGAATAAAGTATTAGATAATCAAGTTATAAATATTTATAAGAACTTGTATAATAAGAAGGAATTTAAAATGATAAGACTTTATTTGAAAATGATGAAAGATTAAAAAAAATAATGAAACCTTTATTAACTTGTGTGTAATCAGAAATCTTTCATTATGTACCATCTTTCTTAAAATCTTTGAAATTGATATTAAAATTATTTAGTAAAGTGTTTCATAGAACTTTATCTGATAGATTATAATTACATCTTTAAAAAATAGTATAAGATAATTTCTAATAGTATTAGAATAATATTTAAACTTGTACTACAATGGAATGGTAGTCATATTAATAATAATAATCTTAAGAATCTTTGAATTTTTAAATGGGTATAATATCTGGATTATTAAAATTATTTTAACATTTAACATTTTAATAGGCTAATTAAGGGAATGGACCTTTGAATTATAATATAGTATAAAAGATAATATAAGATAAAAATACATTAAGAAGAAATTATATTTTCAAAATATCTTAAAATTAATTAAATTAATCAATTGATAAACCATTAGTTAAATTTTTAAATACATTAGCAGCTAATTCATTTGAAATATTTCAATAATTTTTCTCTAATACATAAATATAACAATTCCAAAAGTAATTAGAAAATGTGAATTAAATATTGTGCAATTAAACAACTATAAAGAATCTTTAAGAATAAATTCGTGAAAGATTATAATATATAAAAACAATCAGATAGGTAATTTCAGAACCTTCTGCATATCCTTTAAGAGAGAAATTATGTAGAGAGAAATAATAATTGTTTTAAAAGATAGTAAGTTTTAATAAAACAATTTAAGAACTTAGTAGTTCTTTAGAGAAAGGTCTTTTGTCTAATTAAATTTAATTGACATAGGAATAATTGTAAAGTTTTCATTAATAAAGTGTTTAGAAATTAATAAATGGAATAAGTAAAATTCAAATAGAAATAATATAATTTGGATTTGAATTATGTAAACATAATCCTTCTTGTCTTAAAAGAAATACATAAATACTTGAAAATTTTATATTAAAAAATATAACAGATCTTTTAGAACGTTAAAAAAATAATAATAATTAAAATAAAAGTATATAAATAAATTAATTATAATTTGCTTACAATTAATTAATATTATCTAATTAATAAATAAATAGTTTATTAAATAAATATTGTAGTATGCTTAAATAATATATCAATTAAAATGAAGATAATAAATTAGCAATTTAAGGAATGTTAAAATTAATACTTTATTCAACTTAAGATAAAGTTAAAAAATGGATTATTAATGTTGCAATGAATAAATCAATTTAATTAAGAAAAATTATTATAGAAATTTGGATGGATAATTTTAAATATTTTGAAGATGAATCAATTAATTAAGTTTAAATGACAATAGGTTTTCATGTTATATATCCAATACTCTTTTATTCTAATTAAAGAAATGATTTAGCATAGATTAGTTAACTAAAATTATTTGAGAGAATCAAAGATATTAATGAAGATTTAGTTAAATAATATAGTAAGATTTTAAGTGATATTGAACATCATGCACCTATGAATTTTACATATAAACTTTAAAATGGATTAGCTATAAAATTATCAGATGTTAATAATTTTTATAAATCATCTGTTATTGATATGTTATAAATTAGTTCATATCTAATTTGTTTTTAAGAACAATAATTACCTTAAGATTTAAAAATGTCTTATCTATCATTTGGATATGATATGATCAATAAATCTGATAAATTAGTTGCATTCTATGCTAATCTATATTTTAGTAAATATTTGAAAAAGAATTAATTAATTTAAAATGATCCAATTTCTGTTAATAAACGTATTGTTAGAATATACACTAGAGCCATTAAATAATTAGATGAAAGTGGATAATCTGAATAAGAATTATATAGTTTATGTAAAAAAATAATAAGTGTTATATTACCATGGTTAGATGAGGTTGATGTAAATGATTAAAAAGATTGGATTTAAGCAACATAATAATTATTAAAATAAGAATAACCTAGTTTAGATTCTGAATAAGCATAAAAAGTAAGTAGATTTTGGTCAATGTTTATTAAAAATCATAAAATATTTCATAGACATCATGAATCATTTAATATTCATATTATAAACTCTATGTAATAAATTGGATTTTACAGTTCAAATCAAAATATATAAACTCAATTAATTCCAAATAGTTATCAAAATTATAGACGTATTGCTTTAGATATGGCTTTCTTATAAGTTGAATGGAAGACTTAATTGATAAAAGGAGAAATTCAATAGAAATCTAAAAAATTTAAAGAATCATTTTATTAAATTGAACCTTAACATCATGATGAAGCACTTTCTAGTGAAATCTATTAATCCTTCTTTATTAAATAATCTTTAAAAGCACATAGTTTAGAGGATTCTGAATTATCTAAAAGAGCATTATATTTACTAAAGAAAATATTAATAATTGCTCCCTTGACCAATTAAAAAATGAATATGGAAACTTTAAAAAAGAATATAGCTAATCTAATGAACTAAGTAACAGAAACTTAATAACCTAATTAAAATTAAAGAACAATTTAATAATAACCTACTACTTCATCTTATTTTCGATATTTTATGATAGTTCTACATATTTTGATGATTATATCAGAATTCCAATAACCACAAAGAATTCCTTAATTATTTTAACCTTATTTTGACATAATCTTCCTTATGCATTAATTACCTGATTAACTCTCTTAATAAATGGGACATCGTCCAAATACAGCTAGGATGCCACCAACTCAACCTAGACCTATCAATTAATAATAACGATAACCCTATTAATCTACAGATAGAACTCAATAACATTAAACTGCATTAAATTAAGATTATGCTCCTTTAATATTTAGTATTTATTGTATTTTTCGTAAATTATTGAAAGTTGCAAAGGAATAACAAAATGAATTAAGTGAATAATTTTATAATAACTTATCTAATTGGGTAAAGGATGCAATTTAAGGACATCCTTAATTTAGAAGAAGTAATTAATAGTAGGCATATGGATAACAAAGAATTCCTGTCTTAGCGATAAAGGTGAATATATTGTCTATATTTCTATTGAAATTATTGTTTAATTAAAATTAAACATATGTGTGTCCTTTGTTACCAGCATTAAAAAGGATTGCAGAGATTTTGATTGAATATATGAAAACTAAAGATAAAGGAGATTAATATTTAGACAATTTATGTAAGTACTAGATTCCAAAAAGACAATTTAATATAAGAGAGAAAGATAATTTAGATTTTAATGCTTAAAAATAATATACTCATGCAAATTTATCTTAATATATAGCAGATTTTGCATAAATGACTGATGATTTTCCATTTGGTATAAAAAAAAGTGAAGAAGTATTATATTTTTCTGAGGATTTTCCAGAAAATCAAAAAATAAAGTTTCATTTACATAGATCTGCTTTATAAAAGACAATAAAAATGATGACTTATAATTTTGATGAAATTAAAGATCAAAGAGAATAATTAGAATTCTTATAATTATTAATATCAATAATTGAATCAGTACCTGATTATGAACTTAAATTGGAATGTATAGCAATTATGCGACTTCTTTTTATAAATGGAATATCTAATAAAGAAGGTTATTTACTTGCAATATCAACTCATTTATCACCAATTAGATCATAATAAGTTAGATTGGAATTATAAAAGATGGAAGATAATAAGTAATTCAAAGCATCAAAAATGCCGTATGAAGTTCAATTGAATTTCTTTTTTGATATAAATAGATTATAAAATTTATTTGATAAAAAAATAGATTAACGTAGTTCTGATAGCTATGATAATAATCATGGAAAAATATAAGATCTAAAGGTCTTAAAATTATATTTTATGTTTTTATGTGAATTATTATTAGTTCATCCTTTTAAAAAATAATAAGATTCAATTAATAGTGGATTTTATTATCTTAAGAATATTTTTGATAAAAGTAGTGGTTCATTAAGAGAATTTAGACGTATTCTTTAAGTGATTAGTAAATTAAGTACTTGTTTAGATTATTTATAATTTTTTTATAAGATGATTTTAGACATATATGGATACACTTATGATCGTTTCTTATAATTTTTATTAGGAGATCAAACAACAAAATAATAAGATTAACCTTTATAAACAGAAGGAGAAGAGATCATGTTAATGGCAATTAAGTTTTTAATTTTAGGAAGAGGTCAATTAAAATAACCAATATAATTTCAACTCTAATAATCAAATAAGATTATAGTTAAATTAGTTCCTTAGAGTGATGATTCAAATATGAGAGAATAAGTACTTAATAAATATTTAGCTATTTATTATAGAAAAAAATAATGGATAAAATTATATAATTCTAGTTTAAAATTAATAACTAGTGAATATTTACCTTCAATTGTTATTTATAATCTCTCTTATATTCCTCTATAAGATTAACCTTAATAACCTTTAAGAGAATGTATTATACCAAGTGCTGCTATTGAATTGATGGGTACAGCAGCCAATGTTAGTAGTCGATTACTCAGACCACTCTTTAATTAAGTAATAGTTAATGATCTAAAGACAATCACATAACTTACAGAATATCTTCAATAATAATCTTTATCATATGGTACTATGACTACTATATCAAATTATTTAGTTTAAGATATTTTGAGTTAAATGTAGAATATTCATTAAGTATTAGATCAATAATAAATGTAACTAAATTTCAATAATTTAATTGCTTGTCTTCGTTAAAAGAATTAATTACAATTATGTTAATACTTATTAGAATAAATATTTTAATACTTAAGTGAAGATTGTGAATATTATTCATTATTAAATGAAGATATTCTAGTATAATTATAAGGTATTTATTAAGAATAATGGAATAAATAAAGTTTATTAGGATGTAAATGTTTTACTGCTACTTAACCTTGGGTAAAACAATTAGTATTAATGAATCAATTAAGAGAACCAGCTTAATAATATTAATTGATATTAAATAATCAAGAATAAGTTGATTAATTTTGGTAATAATTAGAATAAGAAACTCATGAATATCAAGGTATTTAGAAGGAATATGATTAATAAATTATTCATCAATTCTTTTCTGAATCTTTGTAATAACTTAATTAATGGAATACTTTGAAATAAGTTGATTTGAGTAAAGTGTAAACAGTTTAAAATAAAATAATTATGGGATTTAGAGAGAAATAAAAGGATTTAACAGATTAAGGTTGGAAAGAATTGAATATTTTATCAGAAGTTAAATAGAATATTTAATAAAATGATATATATTGTTATAATTAAGCTTACTTTAAATTACTAGATTTTGTTAGAGATGATTCATAATAAAATTAACATGGTAGAATTGGAAATCATGTATTGTAATCAATTGAATAACATCTTAAATATGCACAAATAATTAATTGTTATAATTTCATCAAAACATTACCTAAATTAACTTAATCATATGATTAAATGATGTCATCACCTTAATTATGGGGATAGAAATTCCTTAATTTTGTATCTTAATTTTAACTATATACAGAATTTGAAGAAAGTTTAAGACAATATGCTATAAGTGCAACTGTATATCCAAATTAATAATAAGGTCCTCATGATATGCTTTTAGATTAAATATATAATGGTTATTAATCTAGTTTATTATGCAAAAAGTATTTATTTGAAAGACAACCTACTAATATTGATTAACAAGAATTTACATTTGATTTAATTAGTTAAAGAATGATTCAATTATAAATGTGTTTACATCGTTTCAATGGTTTTTTAACATAATTTATAAATGCATAATAATAGATGCCTACAAGTATTTCTTTGGATTTAAAAAGTTATTAATTATCTATTTTAGATTATAAAACAATTTTATATCCAATTAGATATTATTAATAAAATGGTATTTTTGAATTGTTTGATGAATAAAGTATATTAAAAGAAGTACCAAAACCATTATAAATATATGCTGAGAAAATATATTAATTAGAAAAAATTAAATTTAAAACAATTAAAATTTAAGAAGTTGATTAAAATAATCAATAATTAACAGATCTTTTAACTTATTTTAGTAATTTATAAATGGGAACATATAGTTCAGAAGAATTTAAAGCTTATATGATTAGTAAAATAAGAAGATATAAAATGATTAATTAATGTTATAAATTGTTAAGATTAGATTCATAATAATCTGAAAATCAATTAAATAATAATATGTAAACAGAAGAACCAAAATTAGAATAAATGGTCAGTCAAACAAATGAATACTTCATATAAAATCAAATTAATTATTTAAAATTCTGGAGAGAAGTATAAAAAGTATATTAATTAGCACATAAGAAATATAGTAATAATATTAAATTTGCATAAAATTATATTCAAGTATCATCAATTGGTATTTAATATAAACCATAAAAATTCACTATAAATGGTATGTATATGTTTCATATTATAAATATTACTAATCCTACAGATTCTATTGTAATTGATGCCTTTTCATAAACAATAGGTTTGATTCCATTACATTTATTATAAAGATTTTTAATTCAATTAATATCAACATATTTAAAAAGTCCTTCAGAATAAATAAGAAAAGATTGTTTAGAATATATAGATAAATTATGTAAATACAATCCATTAAATAATTTTTAAGTTATTCAATATTTTAAGAGTCTTGGTTTATTAATTGATGATAGATCTTAATAATTTGTAGATCATTTTTAAAATTCTTCTAAATTAAGTAATTAAATTGCAAATATATATTCAATATCATATCTATTTAATAATAGATTCGATTCATCTGTATGGGATACATTAGAAGAATTAATTTATTTATGTGGTAAAGTATTAGATTAAAAATATTATGAATCTAATTCTATTAATGTTAATGAAAAATGTTTATAAATAGTTAATTTAATACAAAAATATCATTAAACAAAGGATCATTTAAAATAATTCTTACCTGTTAATGATCTTCAAAAATGGATAAAAAATGATTAATTAAAAGCAATTACATCTATTTATATTGCATCATTAAAATTAATTTATGGCAAACTCTTTGGATTTTAAATTAATTCATCTGAAGATTTCTCTTAATAATTGAGTTGTGCATTAAATACTCTTGCTACATAATAAATTTAAATAACATAATTATATGCATTAAATGATGAATTTATTATGAATTAATATCCAATGTTGGGACAAGATGGATAATTAAAGAGAACTTAAGTAATTGAAAATGTTTATATTACAAGTATGTTCCCTACTATTAATATAATGTTTTTAAGAAGAAAGAGATTAATTAGATAAATTGCATTATTAGGAAATGATGAAAAGAAATATTTATTCCTTTTAAAATCTAAAAAAATAGAAAATAAAAAATTTATATAAAATATATTAGATGAATAGATATCTTATTAATTTTTGAAAATGACTAATACATTCAATCAGAATTACAAAGAAACTAAAATTAGAAATATAAAACATACTTTTATTGAGAAATATCTATTAGAGAGTGAAAAATAATTATATTAAATAGAACCATATTAAGAGGAAACTTATAATTTATCTAATATATCTGATTTAATTGTTTCTCTTAATTATCATAAAAGCAATACTAAAGATAATACTGTTAGAATACCATATTATATGTAAATATTATTATATATATTTATATAGGGAAAAAACTGAGAAATATATATAAAAATAAGATTTAAGTAACTACATTTTGAAATTTGCAAAAACTATTGATACATTTATAATGTTGAGAAAGATACTTGTTACAAATATTGGAGTTTAATATGCATTAAGTTTTACTATTGCTAGTAGTTTATCACCAAAATAATTAGAGAACTTATAAATTAATTTGAGTAATGGTAATTTCTTTTAGAAAAAATACTTATTTAAAGTTAACAATCAGAAATTAATACTTTATGATCCATTTGCTATTAGATATTCCTAAAGTTTTGAACATTTAATTGGAGAAATCAATTTAAATGGATATTTGATACCTGCTTTTACAGCTACAATAATTGGTATTCTAAATCCAGAGTAATAATTTAATTATATAATATTTTAGTCTTGTAGAATATTTAAATGTTTTATTTTGGTAATTAGGATGTAAAGAATCAGTTGAACCTTTTATTAAGAAATTAAAAGATATTGTTTATGAAAATGGAATTATTGATTCAAAATGTGATAGATTAATTGCTATTTCTAAAGGATTATTTGGAGGATAAGAGAAACTCAAATAATGGGTTAAAAGATGGTTTTGATTTATGTTTTTATGGAATTATTATAAATAAAATATAAATATGCAAAGGTTCGAAAGTGATGTAAATGTGGAAGGTGAATCTTAAGCTGCTTATACAAGATTTGAATCATCTCCTTCAGTTGGATAATTATCTGGTACACATTAAGAAAAATAAACCATTATTAAATCAACTCTAATTGCATCAATTGGATCATTCATTTTTACTTATGGTATTCTAGCATCTGCAGGAAATAATATGGCTATCTTAGTCATATTCTTCTTAAGTGTACTTATGACTGATCGTCTAACTGTATTCAATCCTGCTGTTAGTTTTATTGATTTACTCATGGCTAGAATTGGATTTCAAGAATTTATGTTTAATGTTATTGGTTAAGTTGGTGGCAGTCTATTAGGTGCAATGGTGTGTTTCTTTGTTTTAGAAGATTTCACTAATGCACCATATTTAGATGCCAAAATTGGTGATAATTTAATTGGAGTATTAGAATATATTTATTAAGTAAATAGTCAGTTGAAGGAGAATTATTTGGCTCAATTTTATTTATGATAGTCTTAGGATTATAAGAAGATGATTATTTGAAATTTTCAGATGATAAATTGGAACATGCTTTAGTAGTTACTTTAGGATTTGGTGCTGCTCGTGTCTTGTCATCTGAAGGATAATCACTTTTCAATCCAGCATTTGCTTTTAGGTATATATACTATTTTTAAATATTATAAAGTTTGGAATTATTTGAATGCATATAAGATGGTTCATGGGGAAGATTTGGATTCTTATGGGTATTTACTTGTACTCCCTTTATGGCAGCAGTTGTAGCAATAATGTTTAATAGTCAAATATATAAGAGATTCTACGATAAGAAAATTTAATACGGATTTTGATTTATTAATTATGAATTAAAAATTTACAAAAGAGTAATAGTTATTAGTTGATGAAATCATTAACAAAGGTTATAATCAAGATGATTTTCAAGAATTTGTTTTACTTAATGAACCTAATAGAGGTTCATATCATTTTTATTCTTTAGGTTAAGATTTAACTTAATGGACCTATAAAGAATTATTAAGAATCATTCATTATATCAATAAAAAAGTATAAATATATAATTATTATATAGAAAAAGAAAAATAATCAAATTCATATTAATTAATTGAACTTGATTCTCCAGACATTTCTAATCAAATTTAAATTATTGATAGAGATACTTTTGTCAAAAAATAAACCTAAGAATCAATAAAAATTGTATATTATATTTATAATCTATCATTAGACTGATAAAATATCAATAATTCCATATGAAAAAACTATTACTTGTAAATAAATGTATTTTTTTATTGATGAAAATATTGAACTCTAATTTGATATCAGTCCGTATTTTATTCTAATAACAATTAAGTCCCATTTAAGAAGGAGGTGGTATTCTAGATTTCTTTTCAAAAACTATTGTATTTCCAATTCAAATTCTCCCTATGGAATGGAAAATAAAAAGAACTCTTCAAGATTTTATTTAAATCAGAAACATACTCTCAGCTGCTTTTCCTGAATATATTGTATATTATTATATCATTTAGATTCCTTCCTTTCCTTACAATGATATCAATGACTATGATATAATCATGAAAGAATAATAAAATATTATCAAAGTCTTAAATGTAAAATACTCTTTTTATTATCCAGGCATTCCTATAAATTTATAATAAAAAACCAATTGTTAGAACAGTATTTTCTAGTTTACTTTTTTTAAATGAAGATAATTCAAAATAATTTTAATAGAAATTTTATAAGGAACTAATTCTCTAAAAATAATTTAATTTAAATTAAAAATAATCTAAAACTGGTACTCTCTCTTTTTCATTTAATTAAATTCAATATTAAAAATATAAAGATTATTAAGTTTATTTAAATGGAGAATAAGGAAATTATGAAATTATTCAAAAATATTTAGAATAATTTGCTGAATTTACATATAAAGGTTAATAAAGTTTAGGTTATTCAATAGAAATGATTTAACAATTATGCAATTCACTTCCATCATATACTGAAGCTTAAGAATTTGGAAAAGCATTATGTATGATTAAATCTTATTTTGTAATTTGAATCCACTATTTAGTTAGCAAACTTAAAAAGACTTTGTTTTAAGATCAACAAAATAAATCATGGATGTCTTATTAATAACTTTAGTTAAATTTAAGAATTCAAGATAATAATTAACTGAATTGAAAACTAATTTATTTGAAACATTCTAAAATTTCTCAAATGAATTTAATCTCTTAGAAAAAAGAAAGGAAGAATTGTTTTTAAATAGTAAATTTAATTTTTATTTGTTATTTAGAAGATCTATAGAAATGGGGTTTGAATTAAGAATAATTTTTATAGATTGATTTAAATAAATGTTTTACTGATCTTAAATATGCAAAAGAAATTATGTTACCAAAAGATACATATTAAGTAGATGAAAAAAGAGATTAATATGTTTATATGTTAAATAAATTTAATGAATAATATGAATAATAATTCTTAATAGAAACTGATAAACTACTTAATGAAATAAAATATTATTTAGATAATATGAGATATTACACTAACAATTAAGTAATATATTAATTTTAACAAATAGCTTCAAAATTGGGATTTCTTAATTCAAGAATATGAAGAATATAAATTATCCTATTAAAAACAAATAACTGTAAAATGATTATTAATTTGTTAATAATTTTTAGTATTAAATATATATTATTTAATATAATCAATTTTATGTATTGGTTGATTCTTTAAGATCCTCAGTGATTGTAGCCAAATCCTTACTTAATTGAACTCGACTTTGTTTTGCAGTAGTGGATCCATTTCCTTTCCAATCTGAATTATCACCATTCCAACTTTTTATTTATAATAAACTTACTTATCATCTGATTCAACTTGTCCAAAAGTTCCTGAAACAACATTATAAACCATTTAAAGTGCAGAAGAATCCATAGATTCAGATGTTTTTATCAAAACCTCTTCAAATTAATTATCTTCATTTTATAATGGTTATTATGGTAATTTTTCTGGATTTTGGATATTCGTACTTTTTTTATTAATCTATATTAAATATACTCCAATTTATTTACACTTGTTTCATCTAAAGGTATTACTTCAAAACCTTATTCATTTTTCTTAACTTCTTCAAATCCATCTCCTCTAATTATAATTTCTTCTTCAAATCCATTCTAACTCTCTCCTTCCCAATCACATGAATCTTTCTACTTAAATTAATTAATAGAATCATTAAGTGATGGATGATCACCAGATTTATAGGAACTTATATCTTCATCTAAATGAACAAGTGGATTTTCGAATTCTTCTAATTCAATCTATTCATCTATCTTTTAATATATCAGATCTTTAAATTAGGTAGTACCTTAAATCTATTAAATAGTCCAAACTTCTAAAATAGATACTTTAGCTTATTTTAAAAGCATTAATTCACCAGGTTCATAAGTTTTATCATGAGTTTTGCATTAAACAGTAAGTAGATCTTAATTTAAAAAAATTCTAAATTCCTTTGCTAATTCACCTCCAAATCCAATACCTAATTTTAATTCTTAATTCTTTGTATTTAAATAGGTACATTATGATCTAGTGAATTTATCATTTTTAGTTTTGTAAACTTTAAATTAGGGAATCATTTAAAAAACACAATCTTCTTTACTTCCATTAGGTTAAGCATCATCTTTCCATTCAAAATTTGTATATGATCCAAATACATACTTTCTATTACCTTCTTCACACTAAATTAAGAATAATACACTTGTTTAACATTCAATAAGAAGATTAGATAATAATTCAAAGTTTCTATCATGAACATTAGTAGAATATAGAAGTTCTAATTTATTACTATCTTTGTTCATGAAACTCAAATACATAAATGCTATCCATTCTTAATTTAATATATGAGATGGATGTTATAATTAAGGATTACGAAATAATTTCTATTCTCCTAAAAATTTATTATAATAATAATCTTCAACAATTTCTTCTAACTGTGTCATATAATTATCAAAAAATTTAATTAACTGCAAGATAGGAACATTGCCATTAACTTTCTAGAAAATTGCATCTACAAATGCTTTTATAGGTTATTCATTAGGATTCTACTTTCTTAACATCATATTAACAAACACTTGCATACATTTTGCTGTCTATAAATAAGTTATTTCTAAGGATGCAAATTATTTGATTGCATCTTGAATATTTAAATTACCAAATTATGATACAATTAATACAATTAAAGAAACTCTATTTGGTAATCTTAAAATTTCATTTTCTGATTTTCCCAATATAAAGACTTCAGATATTTACAGCATTGTTTCATATTCAATTCCCTTTTAATCATTATTTTATAAACCCAATAAAAACCAATACATACTTTAACCTAAAATAGGACTTTCATCAAACATTTCAATGAAATTGTCTTCAAATAACAACAGCTATTTACGAGATCTAACAATTTTCATAATAAACTATACTCTGGATTTGTTAGTGTTTGTCTTATAAAAGCTTAATGAATAAACAACTTTTAGGGTTTCTCAAGATTAGTTTATATTTTTGTTCTGTTTGTCACACAATTACCCATTTTTTACTATTAATTTTATATATATATAAATATAAATATAAATTATAAAAAAAGAGTAGAAAATTGATAACAAATATAAGAAATAATGATTTGATTAGAATTAATCTTACTTTACATTTTATATCAAATATCTCATTTCCTCTTTTTTCTTAAATTTTAATCTTTTTATCCAAGCTCTTCAATCTTATTACGAGAACTAAAAATATATTTATAATATAATTAATACATTTAAGCTGCATCATCATCACCTTTCAACATTAATGCTTTATCTTCTCTAAATATTGAATCACTTGGTAGTATATAAGATGGTTCTTTCCATGGTAATATGGGATCATCTATTCTCCATAATACTTCACCATCCATCTCAAAATGAGACAACCATGATCCTGATCCTTTTGCTAAAGTGAATACTTAATCTTCATCATCATCATCAGTCTTTTTAATAATATTATTACATTAATTAATTTATTTATTTTCACATCAACTAAATCTGAAAGTGGTTTCTATTGTTAAGACCAGAACATTAATTTATTTTTTATTTTCTAAGCACTACCTTCATACACATAACTGAAATTTATTTAAGCTACTAATTTATCTTATACACATTTTATTGTAAAACTATCCAATTTATTTAAAATTCGATCTCCTTTCATTAATCCATTGATAATCATTCCAGGTACTTTTATTTCATATAATTTTCCATCTGAAAATTTTATGTATTTTGGTTTAAGATTTTTACCAATAATCTATGTAAAAGTTGGATGGATTTCTGCCAAAACCTCTTCTGAACCATAGATTTACCAACCATCACCATAAATTTAATATAATGTTGTTGGAGGATCTGACTTTATAAATTCACAATAAAACGCAGTACCATCTTCCTTTACTTTTTGACATGTTTCTCCAATCATAGGATCTATGGGTGCTAATGACCTCAAATAAGTATGTGTTCCATGAAGATAAGCTATTTCATTTGTTACTACCATTATCATTCTTTATAGAGGATCCTTACATTTAGCTGCTTCTGTAAGATAGAGGTGAGCATAGTCATGATCGCTTTTTTGCATATAAATGAACAATATACAATGTCAAGCATTCATTAGCTGTTTTAGGAGCTGTTAAACATATGGGTTTTGTAATTGTAGCTAAATTAAAATCTCCTTTGGCTATTTTTGAACCAATTTATTTTATCATAGCTCCTGCAATTTAAAAAAGCTTGGTATCGTCCTCTTAATTCATATGAACACCACCTTTTAATATTGAAAAACTACATTACCATTTTTATGAGCCATAGGATGTCTAGGATACTATTTATCTTTCTCAAACTTTTATCTCCAACTTTAATTCATAAAAATAAATTTTCAAAAACCTTTCAAGAAGAAATTAATGTATTTCAAGAATATTTAAAATAAAAAAATTAAAAATTATTCCGATACCGGGGATTGAACCCGGGTCCCCAGGGTGAGAACCTGATATCCTAACCACTAGACTATACCGGAAATGATAACATAAATCATTTATTTTTCATTATATACGGAATAAGTTCAATTTTATAGTTATAATTACTTTTCTTTCATTAATGATATTTTATAAGTATTTTTTTTTATAATAAAGAATCTTAATCCACATCTTTGATTTATGATCTATTAATTCTACTCCTATAAAACAATATTATAAATTAATAAATAAAATTTTATTATAAAAAATGCTATATAATCTTTCCCTATGCATTTGATATTCCTTTTAATATGATCAATTATTCCATCTTTATCATTTTTATTTTAAAAAAAACTGGATTAAACCTGAGTAAACTTAAGCTTTCTTCACTTTATTCTTAAAGTTGCTAATTTTAAGACATAAATGATTGCTTTCATATATATATCAACTTTTTTTTTAATCTAGTAAAAGATATCATATAGAGTTTAAATTAATTTTTATGAAAATTAGATACTAAATAATAATTTTATTACCATTAAATTTCTATTAGAATTGAAAAAGGTTTTAAATTTTCAAGGTAAATGGATTTTTTATTATAATTTCAAATAAATAAAAGTATATTTCAAATGATGTACTTGAATTTTATTTATAATTTAATATTCAATCAGACTTGACTAATGAGCATGTATTATTTTATTCTTTTGCAATAATAATGCAGTAGTCTAAATTTTTTTATGAATTCAAATTTTATTTTTTGACTTATTCTGATTATTCTGTGTTGAGCAATTCAATTTTTAAGGAATTGGATTAATTTTCTTCATTTAATTCTTGAATATCAACTTCTTTGTTTTACATCTTCATTTTTTCTAATTTTTTTATCATAGCATTTTATTCATTCTTACTTTTATCTATATCAAATTCTGTATTTTCTATCTTTAAATATTCTAATTTTGCTCTTAAGTTATATAAGTGTTTTTCTATATCTTCTTTTAGGTTACCTTAAGCAAATCTATTATTAAATATCAAAATTCTATTAGTCTCAAATGTTTTTTCTAAATAATTCTATTATTCCTATACAATATTATCACTATCATTAAAAATAATTATAGATATTTTATCTCTAAAAGATTCTAAAAATTTAAGACAAGCTACCATGTTTTACTTCATTGCTGACAATCTTTCATATTTAACAATTATAAAGATTTATGATACTTATTATTATGTTAGAATATTTGAGAATTTTTATTTTATTTTTTCACCATCCTCTATTAAATCATTTTTTTCTAATTCAAATGGAGGTGTGTCCATTATTGTTAAATTGCTATTTAAACACTTTTTCACCATAGGTTCCTAGGTTGATTCATTAAATCTGGAAGCTTTTCCATCACATAAAAAATTGAATATTGTTGTTTTACCAACTCCAGTTTTTCCTATTAATATAATATGATGATTTTAATTATTTACTACATTTGATTGACTATAATCATTAACTGATTAGACCATTTGATTTTAGTTTAGATATTATAAACAATGTTCAATCTAAAAACATGTTCTCTAAGATTTATAATGAATTATTAAATTATTAAAAGAGGCCTATTCAAAATTCCAATTTTAACAAAATTAGTTTTTGAAAAAACTATTAAAAAATATGCTACTTGTATAATTATTTTTAGATTTATACACATACACCCTACAAGTATGACAAAAATAAAAATCTTTTTAAAAGTTCATTATCAACTAATTTATTTAATCAAAAACACAATTTATAAATCGGCTAATTTGTTCCATAATCTTATAATTAAATTTTAGTTATAAAATATATTAATTTCTTTAGTTTTGAGGAATAGATGTATATTATATTTAAATAATATAATTTCTCATATCAGTTAAATACTAGTATAATTGTTCAAATTATATCGCACTTTGGTATTAATTAGTATTTAATTTTGAAATCTCATTTTCAATTATATTTGTAATATTTTAAATAATTTATTCATCAACTTTTGTACTTTTATGATTTAGTTAATTATTAAGACAAAATGATTAATCCTAACAATTTTCTAAAATCTTCTAAAAACATTACTATTTATTAGTGAAAATTGAGATATTCTTATAATATTTTTAGATATATGAGTAATCTTGTTAAGAAGCATTTATTTTTTCATCAAATATAACTATTTTTGAAATTTGATTATAATTTTCACTCGATATTATGTTGTAATAATTGTTAATAAATTTTTATTGAAAACTTACATCAATAAAAATAACTATTGTTTTTAAATAGCTTTCCAAGTTTACACATTAGACAAATTCTGAAAATTCTTATGAGGTTTGAAAAACATCTAAGTCATTAACAAAAATTCTAAAGGGGTTTTTTATAAAAGTGGGAAATATATTTAATTTCTTGTTGAGTAGGCTATAATTAAATCCTAAAGTTTCGTATTAATTTTATTTTAGTAAGCACAGAACTATTACACTGAATTATTAACTTTTTTAACTTCCTAACATAATTCCCATTAATAAAAATATAAAATAATAATAAATGAAATATAAAGTTTTTTTTTAAATTATATTCTATTGTGGTTATGTAAATGAAAATCATAATCAACTTATGCTACAAGCTAATTTAGAGAATCTTCTTTATTATTTATTATTCTCATCTTCAATTTGTTTATTTACTTTTTCTGTTTGAATTTTTTTTTAATTATCAATTTTTTACCAATATTTCTCTTCATTTACTATATCTTTGCTATCTTTATCGTAAAGCATACTCAATACATCTAAAAATCCAGTATTTTTTAACTCTTTTACTATATCTTCAGAAAGAGGAGGCAAACTTTTCCAATCTAATTGCTTACCACATCCTTTATAATCAGTAGTTTGATTAATTTAAGGTCTTATTGTACTTTAACCAAAATTAGTTAGCTTGAAAACTTACAAATCAAAACCCTTAAATTCAATTTTATATTTCTTTGGCTAAGGTTAAAATTGTTCATCGTCTTCGTTTGGTTTTTCTCCACATTTTGTAATATTTTCACATCCAGCAACTTTAAACCAAATTAGACCACAATGAGGACATTATTTGATAAAATTATAAACATGATATTTGTATGTTTACATCTTTTGTTATGCTATTTATATAACTTATTCTAGATATCCCATAATTTCTGCTTTTAATTTAGTATGGGCTAAATATGTATGTTCACAAATTCCAAATTTATCAACTAATTTCTCAAAATTTTCTCTATTATATTTTGTAAATTTCATAACAATTGCATGAGCTTCTTCTTTCATTGCTAATATTAATTCATGCATTAATTCAGCCATTTCTTAATCATCATCTTATTATTATTCTATAAATTTAAGAGCTCCTTTGCATTTGTTTGAGAAGTCTTATTTTAATTTATGAGTGTCTATTTCTTCAGTTATAGAATATGATGAAAGTTAAGTAAATTTATATGAAAACTCTTGAAGGGTTAGTTATACTGATTTTTTTAAATTATTATGAATTAATTAATCTAATTATTTACAAATTACATCTCCTGGTGTATTTTTACTGGTACATATAAATGAATTAAGTTTAAGAGGTTTCATTACTTAATTTTATATTTCTATTTTCAATTTTTCTTAAGTTGAAATGGGTTCTTTTTCAACATCATCCCAAAAAGTAACAATAATAATAATCATATCTTTGCATGGAGCGAGCATAGATAAAGCTTAATTTATTTCTTCTTTCATAACACAAGCACGATCTAATTTTGTTAAAACTAAAATGGCATTCAAGGGTCTTTCAGCTGCTACATTTTAAAAAGAGATCCCTTGTACATGATTAACCACCAAAATATGTTCTTTATGATTAGTTACAAATTTTATTGTAAAAAGAGGTTTTCCCTCTTCCAACCTTACTTAATAATATTGCTATTGGTTTATTAGTTTCCATAATAAAAAAATTATTAAAAATCTCATTATTTTTTATGAAAATTTTTATTCTATTAATCCAAAATCCTGAATCAAGATAATAAAATAGGTTAGAAGGAATACAAATTCATAAAATAATTAAGATTTTATATTATTAATCACAAATGATATTTTTTGAGTGGTTGAGAATCTAATTACAAAAAGATAATACTTTTAAAATTATACTAATATATTTTAGGTTTAATTATTAAATAATAATATAAATTTAAAATATAAAAAACAATTAATATATATATATATATTGATATTATAAATTGAAGTAATTATTAATAAAACAATAATTTTTGATTCCTTAATTTAAAATATTCTTTTATTTTCATAAATTAATTATTTGTATTTATTTATATATGATTATAAATATTAGATATAAGTTACCAAAAAATAATATATTATTCATAATAGAGAATTTGATTTGTTTTTGATATAATTAAAGTGAGGATACAATCACATAATAAATAAATCTAATATTCAACTAAATTTACTCTTGAATTAAATTACTTTAATAATCATTAATAAAGTGGGACAAGAATGAAACAATAGTTAAGCTTATTAAACTTGACTAACAATTAACCTAACACTAAAGCTAGTATTATCCACAGAACCTAAGATTTAAAAAAGAAGATGAGTAGTTTTGATGTGTTAGGGAAAAGTCCATATAAAAGCAACTTCAATCGATAAAATTCAAGACATCTTCTTAAAGAATATCAACCTATAACAACTAGAGTTAATTAGAGATAAAGTATTAAATCACCTCCTGAATCAACAAAGAGCAGCAAACCTATCAGTATCAGCAATAACAGTATAAATTTATATTTATATCAAAGATGAGTTAAAGTAAATGGACTCTTAAAAACGATCATCACAAAAATCATATTAACATTAATTAAAGGCTTTATTAGGAAATGAATAAGAAAAACTGACATAATATGAATAAACAAAAAGTAAATTGGAAATACATATATTTAGGAATAAATACATAAATAAATTCTAATATTATGCCTCAATCTCCAAAATAAAAAATTAAAACAAGTCCTGACTTAAAACATAGTAAATTTGATACTTCAAAATCCAAAACTTAATTATAAAATACTAATATTAGTGTGAATGATAAATTAATTTAATTCGAGAAAAATAAATAGAAATTAATTTCTTTATAACTTAAACTTACTAAGAATATTAAATAAAGACCACTTAAATAATCAATACCTATTATTGAAAAATCAGAACCTTTAAATTTTAAATAAAATTAAAAACTATAATTGCCTTAACAATCATCAGTTATTTTATAAGGTTATTCTGATCTTTTGAATGATTTTGAAAAAAAGGAAATTATAGATTATGAAAATATTTATTATTTAATTCCATAAGAAATTAGTTAAATCTAAAAAGATTCTTTTGAAACTTAATTCAATAATGGATTTGATACATAAGAGTATATTCTATTTAATTAATATGTTTTAGTGGTGATTACATATTTATTAAATAAGATTAGATTGCCTATAGATATGAAATGTTAGAAAAATTAGGACATGGAAGTTTCGGTTATGTATTTAAAGTGATGGATCATAAACATCATTAAGAAGTTGCTTTAAAAATTATAAAGAACAAAGAAAAATTTTATAAATAAGCTTTAATTGAAATAGATATTCTTAGAATAGTTAATAAAGCAGATATTTCTTGTTGTTTAATTAAGATGTTAAATTATTTTGAATTTAGAGGTCATATTGTAAATTTAATAGATTAATTTAGGAAGTGCATGGTTTTTGAGCTTTTAAGTTGCAATTTATATGAATTCATTGCAATAAATGATTTTATTGGCTTTGATCTTGATTTAATTAGAAGATTTGCTATATAAATCCTTCAAGGTCTTCTCTATTTAAAGGAATGTAATATAATTCATTGTGATCTGAAACCTGAAAATATACTCCTAAAAGATATTAATAGATCTGGTATTAGAATTATTGATTTTGGATCTAGTTGTTTCACAAACCAAAAGATATATTCATACATATAAGTAAATTAATAGATTATTAATTAATAAAGAGTAGATTTTATAGAGCACCTGAAGTTGTTTTAGGTTTAGATTACTCATCTTAAATTGATATGTGGAGTTTTGGATGTATAATTGCTGAACTTTTTACAGGAGAATCTTTATTTTAATCTAAATCAGAAAAAGAATTATTATTCTTATAAATTAAAGTTTTAGGTATGCCTTCAAAAGAATTGATTGAATAAGGATCTAGAAAATCAAAATTTTTTGATGAAAAATGTTAACTTAATTATAAAATAAAGGATGCAGAATTATTATAGTAAATTAAAACACTTAATTAACATTTAGAAAAAGCAGATCCTCAATTTTAAGATGTAATTATGATATATTTAAATAAGTTTATTGTTAAATGTCTTAAATGGAATCCTGATTTAAGAATGACACCTGAAGAAGCATTAATTCATCCTTGGATAATTAATGGATTACCAAAAACAGTTAAAAAATAACATATATAATAAATGAAGAATTTAATGGTTATACCTAATGATTTAGATTTTAAATAAGGTTAAGGTGATTAAGAAAAGGAATTTTAATGAATTTTTAATGAAAATATTTATTATATTATTTTTAATATGGGGAAGAAAAATAACAATAGAAATTTTTCAACAAAGAAAAATTAATTCAAAAAAATCAGCAGAACTAAGACAGCTGCTGTTTTTGATGAAAAAGAAAGGAAAGAATATTTGACTGGTATGTTTGGAGCTAAATAAAAACGAAAAGAAGAATATATTAAATTAAGAAATGAAAAACATAAGAAATTTAATAAAGAATAAAAAGCATAGATTAGAGAAGTTATATTGAAAAATACATTTTTAGGAAAAAAAGAAATAAATTGAGAGATTGCAAAATCTTATTGACTTTAATAATTCATTAAGTAAAACTTAAAAAACAGAAAGTATTAAAACTTCAAACAATAAAGAAGTTGAAGTTACAACTACTTTTTTTTCATGATTAATGATATATTTATTACATTTTATAAACATAATTAAGTATAACTCATTATTTTATAAATTCTAGAATCTTTTATAGATATTATTAAACTATTCATTTTATATATATAATCAATTAAATTAAATCTTAAGTTCTTTTTTATTGTATTATATTATCTATAAGAGAATGATCTAATGGTAGAAAAATGAAAAATTATTGATTTTTGTAAGAATTCATTAAATTAATATATAATCATAATTAGAAAATGAGTGATTACTTTGTATAAAATAGAAGTGAAATTTCTCAACAAAACTAAAGTGGACTAGGTAGTTTCAATGACAAGTAATGTAATTGATAATTATACTTATTAGTTTAGGAGCTAGTTTTGGTAGATTGTAATAAGACAATCAAAGTTTTGGTCCAAATGGAGGTGGAAGTTTTGTATAGAATTCAGGATTCATAGTTTAAACTGAATAATATCGTTCTTCTGTTGGTTTAGAGGATGTTGTTGCTCCAATTTAAATTTATGAATATTAAGAACCTTAAATATAAAAAGGAGTATTTTTTAGAAGTAGTGGTGATTTTGAGATGCAATTTGAAGAAATTGGAATTGACAGATTGAATATTCAACCGAAAATTCAAGAAGATTCTAAAGAACATAAGGCACCATCTTTAGATAGTGGTATGAAAAGTAGTTAATAATCATCACATGAATTTGAAATGAAAATAGGTATTAATATATTATTATTAGAATCGGGTGAATAGATAAGTTCAAAATTTAAACCTGAAATTAAACAACTAATAAATTCCAATATAATTTAAGAGAATAAGAATTTGTTTAATGTGAATTAAGCCAAAAGCATATATACAAATAAGATTACTTAGTTAGTTGAATAGACCTAAAAAAAAATAGATTTAGCTACTAAATCATCACCTAGATTGTCGTAAATAAGAAAATTATTCATATAGGAAGAGTCAATAAAAACTTTAAAGAAAATCACCTATAATTTCAAGAGATCATTTTGATGTCTCTTCAAATGAATTATAGTCAAGTTAAATGAGTCCTGATGGTAACATGGATCCTGTTCAGTAAAAATTAGCCAAGAATAGGGAATCTGCAAGAAATTCAAGAGCAAGAAAGAAAATTTATTATGAATTATTGGAAACTAAAGTCAAAGAATTATAAGATGAATTAGATAAAGTAAAAGAATCAAATAGAAACTAAACAAAATATACTGAAATATGTAACAAATTTTAAGAAAAGGTATTTTAATTTATAATAATAATATAGTTTTAAACATTTTTAGATTAATAATAATAATTATTTGATAAATTAGAAACTTGTTTAATTAAAAATAAGGATAATTTTGAAATTGCTATGGTTTTAGATGCTTTGAGATATAGAACAAATTCAAATAGTTAAGAAAGAAATGATGCTGCAAGATAATACTTTGATTCAATGGTTGAAGTATGTTTACCAATATAAACTAAATATCTTATTTATGCATTAGAAAAAGATAAAGACTTCTTTGCATAATAACCTGAGTATTAAAGATCTTATATTAGTGATTATACTGATTGGATGAAGGATGTATTTAAAAAGACTGAAATTAAACCAGAATAAATTGTAAAAGTTAAAAAAATGAAATCTAAATTATAAAGTGTCAGAAATACAATATCTGAGTAATATTAACATTATATTAATACTAGTTCTATCTAAAACATTAAAGTTCAATTAAAAATAATATAAGGTGAAGCCAATAAGGTAGATTAGATGTGGGAATAACTTAAGGAATGCTTGACACCAGTTTAGTTAGCAACTTGTCTTTTAGCTATGAAATAAGTAATTATAAAAATATCAACTATTTATTAGAATGCTTTTCGTTAGGAATTACAGACATCATCTATATTTTTATAGTTAAAGAATTCATAAATGGTATATTCATCATTAATTAATTTAGTCAGAGGAAGATGACAACTTAATAAGAACAGATTAATCATCCATTCC